AAACTTCTTGGTCCTGAATACTCTTTGATGAAAACAATGTGTGGAACACCTCTTTACATTGCTCCTGAAGTCCTAGATCGATCACCTAAGCGTAGTTATGGAAAAGCTGTTGACATGTGGAGTCTCGGTGTGATCCTATATGTCTGTCTTTGTGGATATCCACCGTTTGCTAAAGACTTTGGTCCACCATCTTTCGAAGAACAAATAAAGTTGGGAATATATCGGTTCTACCCCCCAGCGTGGAGTTATATTAGTAATGAGGCAAAAAACTTAATAAAGGGTTTATTGAATGTCAACGTAAGAGATAGATTAACAGCTTCCCAGGCATTAGAACATCCTTTTATGCAGGTAAAGCTGAATAAAAAAGGTTAGTGATAATTTATTTAAACAATTAGAATATATATATAACATATATATACTATATATACTTATAAAATATATAAAAATACCTTCATCGCTTCAAACAACTGTCTAAAAATGATGCGAGTTTCATATTCGGATAACTTCTTTTTTTTCGATATAAAATCGAAAAATTCACCATCTTTAATATAATCCATAACAATGTATAATTTGTCACGTTCATTATATAAATTACGGATACGAACTAAAGATTTCTGATTAAATAAAATAATCAAATATTAATCAGTAATAATAATAATAATAATAATAATAATAATAATAAATAAAATAAATAAATAAAGTAAAAATAATAATAAACCATATTTATGAAAAAAATTTACGTGTTCTATCTTGTGCATTATAATAATTTCGTCGTGAAGCTTTGTGTTTGGTTTTTTCGACACAGTATTTTTGTCAATGATTTTCACAGCATATTCTTTAAACTTTGACTCATTACCTACGGCATTTGCAAGAGTAGCCAACTTTACTTCCCCAAAATGACCCGTTCCAAGAATACCTTTAATCCTATAATCATTGTGAAACCTTCCTTCTGGTTTTAAATCGATCTCTATAGAATAACTATACCAATCACCTTTTGAAGAAGGAAATTTGATAGAATCACCCTCTTTTAACTCAAAAAATTGGTTTGACATTAGTTCACGTTCCAAAACCTTAATTGCCCCGTTTCGACTATAGAAGATAAAATTTGAATGAATAAATACTTATATGCAATAAAGAACACGTATAATATACGTAAAGGAAATGATAAAAAAATGATATATACCTAAGATTTTGTAACTTAACAATCGTTCCTATACCCTCAACTTGTTCCTAATAGAAATGATTAACAGATTTTCAGATTTAAAATTGGCAATTCTAAAATTCAACAAATTCAACGCGAAAAAGAAAGATACGTACTTTGAAAATGGAACAATGGATATTATCTATTCTGGGATCAGCCGGTAGCCGCTAAATGAATAATGGCAATTAAATAATGATTTGGAAGACAAGTAGAGAACGGTAAGATAATAATTACCCTAAATACAGGTTCATTATGTTGTTGTTGATTTCCCAAATAATTCATCTTCTCCGTTAGATAAATAGACGGTAAGCCACGATTATCCGAAGGCACGAGAGTAGCCCATGCGTTGTGAGGTCCGGCGATATACCGGACAGTAGTAGCATTTGGGACTGCATTTTGAGATCCACCAAATCGTTTTAAAAAATCAGGAATGACCCTTTTGTTATTTCGTGTAGTGGAGCGACGTGGTGGTGACATAACGTTCCCTGTACAAAAATAAACGATTATCAGAAGCCAGACACGTTTTTTTTTTACTTGATCCTAAAGTGATAAATTTCGTAATTCTAACCCTTCGGAGCAAAAAAATAGTCGTGTTGGTGGTCGGTCAAAGAAAAAGGGGTTTTATACCTGTATGCGTCAATCAGATGGCTTATTGTTGACTCGTGAGAAGAATATGAAAAATAAGGAAATAGATAAACAAATGACTATCGATATCAGTCCCTATATTTGTTTAGTTAATCATCACAACCATCATAAAGAGAAAATGAGATTAGTAGCCATTTATGGAAAATCAAGATCACTTAAAAGTCCGTCTGATCGAGTAACGCTTGATCAAAGTCGGTTAAATGACCTAATTCATTAGTAAAATTCCTGAATGTTTTTCAATTTTACTATGTAATCATAATTACTCGATTTTTATCACAATTATTATGAAACAAAAGCAAGCTCACGGAACGCGCTAAGCAATTTCGTAATATACATTATTAAATTCAAGCTCTAGCCTGTACAAAAAATATCAATTTAACGTTAATCTTTAAACGATCAAAAAAGGTGAAAAAACAATCACGTATTTCTGAATTTTTATTAGGCATTTTTTTCAAAATAAGGTTACAATGTACTGTATGTACATACGTACGTACATACATAAGATTCTATGACGAATTTATTTATAAAAAGAAATTTGGTTAATTGATTAAAATTTATACGTACGTATAGTACGTAGAATAATAATTTTTTACTATGCTGCTTATAGCAATTTTATTTATTGTCCGAAGGATATTTCTTTGTGTTAATTGTCCGAAGAACATTTTGGTAGAAACATGTTTGTTTGTACGGACTTAAATTGATTTATTCTATTTCTATTTTCTAGTTTAGTATATATAACTTTTTTTATTTAAATTTGTAAAAATTCAAATAAAAAGAATTTCGGAGAGTTCTGCTAAATGTCATTACAGATGATTATTACCGGTTATAAATATTTTATTTACTGTCTGATACTAAGTTTTTAGCATAAAAAGTTATATAAAATTTAAATTTTTAGTAAAATTTCTTTTAACAAAGTACTGAAGTACGGACAACCCAGGTTTAACAAATAAATTTAGCTTCAAATTTATAGTATACAATATAATACTGTACTGTATATACTGTATTAACATTAATAAACTACTATAGCAGTACTGAATATACTATAGCTTAAAATTATCTTGTTATGATATTCTGATGACACAAGCTTGTGATATTAAGCTAAATATACAGTATATATATTAGCAAGAACTTTAATATATATCTTCTTTTTTGTGTTAGTTTAATGATGCCTTTGAAGAAGTTCGTAGTATCAACAATGTTAAAATGGTAAAATTAAAAAGACATCTTAACAATCAAGAAATTGCTAAAAATATAGATGACTTGAAAAAAACTTTTAGTAAGTATGATACACTATGTTACTGTTAAATATTTACCAAAGAAATTCATATTTCAATCACTTCTTTAGCAAAGTTCTTTTGATCACGCTCTAGAATTTTTAGTCAGATAATAAGTGACAAATCTGATTTAGTCAAAAATACCCAAAAATTCTTTATGGAGCCGTTCAATAAGATGCAAGCAGAAATACCTCCCAATATTCAGGGATATGTTCAGAAATAATAGAAATCTAAGAACTTAACAAAAATTTTAGAAATCAAGGAGAGATTCTCCATCAACTTAGACAGCTTACATCACAAGTAGTTCGAGTCAAAAATCTTTTAAAAGAAATGGATGACAAAATTGGTTGGTCAAGTGATACGAAACAAGACGCTTGGTTCACTGCGCCTTTCTTACATGCTGTTATGTGTACTATATGAAAAGTTTTCATAATGATGATATGGAAGGTTTATCATGAAAGCTTTCCCATGATAATATTTGAAAGGAAATGAGAGAAATCTTGCAATCATTACAAAGAATCCAGCCTTTAACACAGAGTTTGCGAACACCCGGAGTAAAGGGACCTATGTAATATCTTCTCTCATTCGTGCCACGCTAAAAAAGCCCCGATTAAAAAATATGCATTTCTTAGCATTAAGTTCGATAAACTTTATTTTATATTAGATGAGTTAGAATCAACCAATTTTTTTGTTTAGTGCCGAAAGGCAAAGTTTGGTCAGTGCAAGTAGAATATCATGTTTATAGAGATGAATTGAAAAAAATTGTATGAACTTATGTTTGTTGAGTGTTCTCGTCTAATTTGTACTAAGCATAAAAAAGATGATAATGAAGTGAAATTATGGCGTGAAATGAATGATGCACTTAACTATCATACCTAGCGAAGATGCACTTTACTGTATTTTGTTTTTATATGATATTATATTAATTTTATATATATTTTAATTGGCTTTTTTATAATTGTTTAGCATTTGTCTTTAATCAATTATATCCTATTTTTGTGAATCAACATTAGATAAAATTTTTAATCATTTAGCCATTTAACCGTATTAATCGTTTAATTTAGCTGGCATTAAGATAATTTTGGTCCATTATCAACATAATTCAGCCCGAAAAAGCATGGATCAATTTTTTTTTTATCCACGTGAATGGATGCCCTTCAGGCACTTATTTGGAACAAACTACTTAAAGCTTTATATCTCATTTGACCAATAAGTGCTGCCAACTAGGTGCCCATGTGCGTTGTTTCGGGACACGTAATTTGATAAGAGTTAATGATCAATTAGCTGAAGATTTAATAACAAAATTATGATTCGCATTCGGTTAAATTAATTATTCAAATTACGTGTTCGCTCATTGGCGTCATTTTACGCAAATGCGATATGCCTGTTATGATAATTTACAGTTACCGAATTTTACTTTGTTATGAGAATATGTTGATAAAATCAGTCAAGATTTTAAATTGTTAAAATTATTAAATTTGAGATTTTGGAGGTGTCAAAAATTTGATCAGATCATTTATATAGCCCGCAAACTTTTTTATTAAGGTAGTATAATACGTGACTCTAAGATTTATATGGTCTTACATAAATAGATTCTAATATACTTGGTTTAATTAGGTTCTGATGTAGTATATCAAATTTATTATATAAAATTGGTAAATAAATGTTCTGAACTTTTCAGTCTGTTATATACAGGGTTCGGTATAAAGAGAGTCGACTGCAATTTGATATTGAGAGCTAAGATTTTTCTAAGTGAATGACTAAATCGGTAAGTTGAGAGAAATTTGCAAGAGATATAGATTGTGGTGCTTCTTGAACTAAAATGCCAGATAACAGAAAATGTAAGAAAAATGTAAATTCTTTATATAAGATTATTAAGTACAAAGTGATTTACCGATTTTTTTTGGTTGCATCATATCTGTTGAAAGGTCGACGGTCCATCCACGTTCGTTCGTAACTAAATTAAAAATTGTCATTTTTTACTCTACAGTTTTAGTCGAACCCCTTATATATAAAAGATGGAAAAATCATACCCGACAAAACTTTCTCACGGGGCAGACCAAGATATCTGCCTACATCATCAATCGTAATAGAGGAATAAGACTCTGATAAAAGAATAAGCATACGTTCTCGTAGGTTTTCTATGAATATTTGATATTTAGTATACCGATAAATCTAAAAGATCTTTTACACCTACAGTATTAGCACTTACCACCAAGCTGCTCCATCAAAGGTGCTATTACAGGACTCCATGTTTTTAAATCTATGAGCTTATACATGTTATCATAATCTCTCTGCCATAGCGCAATACCAACATCCCAAATTAACCGTAATTCCTTTGAACTCCCTTTAATATTGTCTCCCAATCGTTTCCAGAGAAACCTTGCCGATGGCCTATTATAAAATGAGCTGTGTTAAGTAAAAGTGAAACCGAACAAATATATATATATGTTAAAATCAAGTTATTTAAAAAAAAATCAAGTTATTTACAGGTCCTGTTCAAGTAGATAACCAAGCATAAATGTGCCATAAAAGTCCTCTAAACTTATGGTATTATTCTGTGTAAGGGCAAGCTTAAGAACATTTTAAAAAGTATTCCGGTGAATTCGTGTGGCTTTTACTTAACAAAAAACTCAAAAGCAATAATAAAATTACTTGTGGTTCTAACTCTTCGCAGAAATTTACAAGTCCGGCATAATCACGATTCGCAATATGCCCCTTGATAGTGTCCATGGCTAAACGATGACTTATAAAAGTAATTCGCGTTTAAATTGATCTGCGAGTCCGTGATGTGCTATTTAAAATTTTATGATAAATCAACCAATACCAATACAATACTGCGATACATTTATAAATTAGGTATAATACTATAGGTTAGATCATAAAATGATACTAATCAAAATTCTAATGGATCAGAGATGGATGAACAAAGTTTAGCGTTAGCTGAAGATTGTGAATTAACAGAATTCAAAGGCGAAAGTCTTCTTGACCCGATAAACCGCCTTAAAGAATTATTGTATTCCCAGTCATCGTCCATCCTTGATAGTTCTTCAAACGTTAATGTCCCCGAATCAGATTTAGAAACTCATAATTCTCCTAAGACTTCGTCTGTTGAAGCACCGCCTTCGTTTTCTAACGTTAATTCAACACATATAGTAACTAATCTTAGTACTGCTAATGCTTTACAAGCGCCTTCATCTAATAATGATACATTAAACCTGACACTGAAAAAAAGAAGTGTGCCACCTGTAGCATTGATTTCAGCGGACATTAGGCAAATAAGGAGTCGTGCGCAAAGAATTAATGCATACTGTAAGAACTTTTTTATATACTCAACAGCAGTTTTGTACTATGTCAATAACAATTTATATATTCATCAACAATTAATAAAGCCGCAAAATTTGAATTGTTGAAAAAGGAAGATACGGGACTGTGTTCATGGCTCAATTTGAACCTTGTAAGAGAGCTGCCGTTATCTATAAAAAGTATGTTTCCATTTAAGCTGTTGTAAAGAAATTCTATGGATTTAAAAATGATTTTGAACTTTTCCTAGCAGATTATAAAAAGAGATTTAATGAAACTATACCATCTATCGCAAGTTTGGCAGCGAACAAAATTTACTCTAACCTTTCTTTAGCAACAAGCGCCAGCAGTCAGCCAACCTTGTCTTCGCGCACCTCAGATAACTCTACAGATACAAATATATTGACAAATTCAAGCTCCCAAAATTCTTCTAAATCTTTATCTTTCTCACGGACTTTTTTAGATGCAGTTGTTCAAACCAATTCACCTAAAAGTCATCCAATGTCCCCACCCATGTCACCAAAAACGAAAACATCCTCCAATCTCTTCAACTTGAATAGACGTGGTAGTATTAGTAAACCTAATCGACCTATGACGCACATGCCTCCGGCTGTGATGAATGACCCATCCACTAATTCGTCTGCATCCTCAACTTCCATGTCTCCAAAATCACCGAAAACGGCTTCACCTAAACGTCAAAGAAGGTTTAGCTTTCAAGCTGTTTCTTCAAAATTCTTTGGATCTTCTAGTACACCATCATTACCTTTTCCGACTATCGAAGAAAAGACGGATACTAATTCGTCCAATTCAGTTGTCATTGATGAAGACGCTCTAAATAGACTATGTGACGTATTACCACAAGCAGACAGGGATGTCTTGATAAAATATTTGCGCGCAGCAGGTGGAAAAGATGATTTAATGGCTGTTGGCCTTTACATGAAAGATTTAAAAAGCGGGGAGATATGAAAATTAATAGTTTATATTAGGCATATTGGTTTATGCACTTGACGTGTATTATAAGCCAGACTATATCGTTTTATTATTTATTGTTTCATTTTTAATTTTCCTCTTTTTTTTTTTTTTAATTAAAATCTTTTATTAAAGATGTTTAATATATTTTCAATAATGTAATATATTATTTTTTTCATTATTTTTGATTTAAAATTTGTGTCTAAGTAACCAAAGTTTATATATCATTTAATTATTTAATTAATCATAGGTAATATAATGAACTTTTAATTTATTTAAAATATATATAACCAAATATTTCGTTAAAAATTACATGTAAAATTGAAGATTAAACTAATTTTTTTAGTATATAATTTAAATTTAGTAAAATAATTGTTTTAAATTATGAAAATTACTAGTGGTGATCACCACTTCTAAGAATTTTTAGGGTTAGGGCACAATTTTAGAGATTTTTTTTTTTATATATAATATAATGAAGATTAGATATAAGGTTCCGATTTTAGGTTTTTAGGGGTTCTGAAAATTTTTAGAATATCCATTCCTGTTTACTTAGTTTTTTTTTTTTTTTTTTTGGCGTTAAGGTGACCTCTACGGCCGGGGACTTTTTATTAGACTTATTAACTTCAGGTTATACAGTTACAACGAGGGTACATCAAGCCACACGTGTACTTTTGGTACCTAATTTAAGT